ACAACATGATAAAGTAATGGAGGAATTTCTGACTAAATTATACTTTTCGTTAACATTAGAAATCAAGGCTCAACCTTTACTGTTGCGATTCTCAAGGTGCAAGTAATCGTGTCTTTCATTTTAGACACAATGAGGCTGAAGTTAGAGCATGCTGTTGCACGTGCTGGCCTGAGCAACACGTCTACTGATAACGCGATGTGTGGATCTCCAGTGACCCAGTACCAAGCCTTAATCAATGACTGGATTGAATTCACATGTAATCCATCCAGACTCGCTCGCTACGTTAGCATCGATATCCCCGCCCAAGCTGCTCTTATATTGTGCGAGGTGATTGTTCTACCGTGTAATCTCCAACCTCCAGGTGAATCGTTTGACTCCCTTACTCTACATGTATCTTAATGTTTCACAGGAAATCAGATTCATGTGTATATGTCTGTGTGTCCATAACGTCATTAGTATCACTGAATGATGTTGCGTTATCAATTGAGAAGTATAGAATCAAGAAAATTTGTATGGTAATTATGAAGGAATTTTTCAGAGCTGTTTGGAATTTTTTTTTGTTCTCTTCACTTATTTCAAAACTATGGCATATCATATTGTTAGTCATTTTGTTCCATTATTTTGCTTATAATTTTATACTCAGCACTCAATTTAACCGAGAAACCACGGAATCAAAGCTCAACGATAAGTGGACAGGATGCTTTTAAAGCCTTTGATGGGCTCCCTGAGGAACCGTTCTGTAGCGTCACCGGTAAGTTCCAGCTCCATGGTCAGCATCGATCATTCCGAGCGAGCAGCTCCGGAGTAACAACTCACCTTGACCGTTCGTGAGTGTCACTCCCGAGTAAACAGCTTCAGACTTGGACGAGTTGTCCTCTGATTAGTGTTCTTATGATGAACATCCCATACAGAAATATCTTAACAGAGGTTGATCATTGTAAATAATGTGGAGACGATGTAAATGATTCTTCCGAATATGTAATTAGTGTGTAAACCGATCCAATGACTCTCTATCATTCTTTTTAAAAACGGCTCCCTGCCCTACGAGACACGTTACACTTTTACCTGAAAAATGACATCAGTCTTCACACAACATCAAAGGAATGCTTTCATTTCATTGGAATCAAGGATTTCAAACAATTTTCCGTAAAATTATTGAAAACAAACTTTTCTTTTAATTTACTTTTCAGTTTTTCAGACTAAATGACTGCTTTTCTTTGACTGTTTTAATTTTGTTTTTGTTCCCTCCTCCTAAAAAGGCTGAAGTCTTCAGTTATTAACTTCCAAAAGTTGGACCGTGGTTTTATGTTGTTCCCCTTTGTATCGATAATTGCGTCACGGGACGCATAATACTGCAGCTCACGCACTCCTGATATATTGATCTATTTGTAATCGTGGCGGCTGAACACACTAATGACGCGCAGGTGGCGTGATCCCTATTTTTTGCGATAAAATTAGCTGGATCATTGTTTTGTTATCGAGTTGTTTAGAGTAACATTATTGTAGGCTTATAACATTTTTATAAAAAGTACATTCCAGTGAAAGTCGTTAGTCTTGGGGATATTGTGATTGTTGATTCAGCGGACTGAAGTTACACATGTAGCGTTTTACGGACAACCCTCGCGCTGTTTCAATGGACGCTGGCTGACGAGTCTTCGTCTATCACTTGTCACTCTAAAATCCTCCGAAACACAATTATATTCAAAAGACACCCCAGGAATTCGGAGTATTTATTTGTTGAGGGCTTCCTAAGGGACAATCTTCTTTGATCTAAGCTTAATTAAATGAAATCGCCAGTCACCTTCCAGCCCTGTGTCCTGGTGTCCTTCAATTTGTTTGGTCCGGCATCCCTTACGGGGGAATAACCTTCCCCAACTGCTACTAGTCTCCATTGAGAGTAGTGAACACTGGGGAGAGCGCCCACACACGCTCCAAGTCCTAACACAGAGGAAGCTCTCAACAACATTTCCTAGTTAAATGGGTAAACACACACTTGTTTTCTACTGATTTGAACAAGTTATTCGGTACCATCCCTTTGGTGTCATAACACGCGAAAGTGGTGGAAATATGACATCAGACCCTTATAATATGGTTGCTTGTCTTCAAAAGAGGATAAAAAAACAGAACACATTTTTATTGCTGATTGGATATGTTTGTCAGATGAAGCCTTTAGTCGAAGGTAGTAATAGCAACCATCCATCCACTTGTGAGTGAATTTAATCTTAATTGTGAGTTAGAGTTTAATTAAGCGCTGCCAAAGTTATCCCGTGGTTTGGGGCAACTTTGGCAGTTTGCTGGAATTTAATGAAAAACATCGAAGATCATTATAGCGAAATTTTACACATGAAAACCCTTCAGGTCAAGTCTCCAGGTGTATTTTTATGACAAACATAGCTTCCATAGAATCATTTCAGAGAACCTTATATCATTTATATAGCGCACTGCGAAGATACGGCGACTACAATCAGGGGGTTTGGCTTGTACCGAAGTTACCCTTTAACGGCAACCTATCAAAAAGTAATACTTTTCGTCATGAACTTTGAAAAGACCAGTACGTCTAGCTACAGTATGCCTGTGTATCAACACAGTTTATATACAATCACGCTGTATGGGATATCAATTTGCCTACCTAAGAGGTTGGCCTAATGTACAGTTTACTATTGAGGAATACCTACATGTATATGTTGTAAGGGCCTCTGATGTACTAAATACGTTATACAGTATGCTCGGCATGATGCAGGAGACGCCAACCAGCAAATCGTTTCCAGCTAGCCTGTGTTGTAAAGTACGATACCTTACAGGTTGCTATACATAGGGTATTAAACGAAGCCAATGGATGACCTAGGCTTGCTCATTTTTAACGTTCAGTGTAATCAGTTTGAAATAATATAGTACACCCATACCCTACAGTGCACCAGTGAATATACAGTGCCGTTGGCAACAAAACTTATGTTTTAATATTTCAAGATAACTGAATCATTTTGGAAACCTGTTTTTGAATCGGGATGTACTTTGACTTTTCAAAAGAGTTTTTTGGTAGGTTTTGTTAAAATCAATAACCCATTGAAATTAAATAAGTTTACGCAAACAGATTGTATTTCATGACAGTAGGATTGATAAAAGTAAGAAAAACGTTTTTCCACCAGTAACAACTGTCAAAATCAAAACGTCTGTGTTCCAATTCAAAGGAAAAAAGGCAATCTGTTCATTTTTAATAACAAGGAAATGTTTCTAACCTCGTTGCAGGAACAATGCACTATCCACACTTTTTACTGCCCATAACAGTGTAAGTGTACCAAGATTTCTGCAGACCAACTTTGCACCTTGAACTGAGAATTAATGGCGGAATAGAAGAGCTGTAAAACATCACATAGCCTTCATCAGCTTTGTTCATTTGGGGGTTTCTATAGTTGGGAGTGCTGATGTTGAGCTTTCCTTGTCTGCCTTGGCCGTCTTCTGGCGACAAGTCTCCCACACTCAAGTTGGTCAAGTGTTTGTGGTAGGTGTTGTGCCATGCTGGCATCTTTGATGCTCGATGTTGCTGTTGTACTTTTAAACAGATAATGAAGAGAACCCGTGGTGGAGGGTGGACCTGGAGTCAAGTTACTGTCTTGGAATAATCCGAGTCAGGAATACAGGCAGTCCAACAGGTGAGATTCGTTTGTGTCTATTCTCTGATGGGTTCATTTCATAGTAACACGGAATAAACGATCTAAAATCGAGGATTCGCTGTAAAAACAGAGCTAGATACAAAGTTAACAAAGAGATGGTATTCAAAGCAATTTTAATGCCATTAAAAATCAGTAGTGAAAATGAATGTACTTTTTCATCACAGAACCAAACTTGCAGGATGCTGTTGTAAGGGCAGGCCTAAGCGAAGTTCACACCAACAACATCATGTGTGGTACACCAGTGACCAGTGATCAGTCTGTTATCAATGACTGGATAGAGTTTGCGTGTGACCCGCCGGTACTCTCCCGGTATGTTAGCGTGGACATACCGGGACCTGCGAGCCTTAAACTATGTGAGGTGACGGTATCCACATGTGATTTTCAACAGACAGGTAAATCAATTCTTATTTAATAGGTGGCTATGAACTAAATGAAGAATGCTTCTGAAGAATTATAGCTTTTAATTAACATGAATTTCATTCGACGAATATTTCAGCCATGATATTTTTGATATTTAAAACATTTGCTCTCGGCATGTTTGTAAGGTTAACTGTAAGAAATCAACTCAAAATCTTTGTTTTGGGGTTATGGAAATGTCACTTTTTGGTACGAAAAGGTCCGATGCTTTCCATGAAAAATATGGGTAGATACTGTTCGTTGGTGATGTTTATAGTCCAGATTGTGAACTCCAGAATTCCTTTAGGAAAATAAGTTTTTCTCCTTGGTCTTTGTAATGTCATAATTTACTGAAACAACAAAATACTAAATTAACTGAAACCTATAACAGCAAAATGCCTAAAAGTCTTGTAAATTTTAGTGAGTTTTTGGGAAAATAGTGCATTTTACCTAAGATAACCCCACAATTTGATCACAAAAATGCAAATTCGCATTAGCATAATAATAATAGAAGCACCAAAATACCCGGTAGGACTGCCGTTATTCGTTGTTATTTGGTGAAGACTGTTATTACCATGTTCACATGAGTTTTGGTAGCAGATATAAAAACAAAACATTCCAATTAAAGGGCCACTTCCTACTCCTATTTGCCGCTATTACGCAATCCACAGCAAATTCAGGTATTCCAGAAAATTTGCAGAAGCTGAACACATTTCAAAAGGAGCAAATTTCCGAGCAAATGTTATAGCGTCAAATTCACCCTACTTTCGAATTTACCTGTAGTGCGAACTGACCCTGGGTTAAGAAAACTCATTGTTTCGGTTCTTATAGCAGCGAACGTTGTGGATTTTACTGTGGCTGCAAATCCTGCACTCCTCGGTAACGCTGGAGACAGCGATTCATCCATCACAGCCTACAAAGGTGCAGAAGACATCTCTGTTGGCGTGTCATTCGGCCGCCAGCTGCCAACGGGAGGGAGGAGCAATGACCTCCCCTCTGGATCAGTGGTACTGGCTGATCCGTCNTACGGGATGTGCAGACAAATTGGTCTTACGATTACCAGAGGAGAGTGGAATCGACAGAACTGGTGTCTTTTTCTCTGAGATGATCAAGAATAACACCAGTACCAGGATACATATCGTCATCCTAGCCAAAGGTGGGGAATTGTTTCAAGACATTCGGTATTAAAGAAGTCAGTAGCATAGTTATCCCGTCGTCCTTGGGTACCGAAGACTTTTGGATAATTTCTGAGTACTCTTTAAATTTGCCTTCCCATAATTTCCTGTACCTGTATACCAGATAATACATGGCGCTTATTTATCTCTTTTCCAAATGTCAGGAAATAACGTTCACGTGCGTCCCATTCAACTAACACAGACAGCAAATATCGGAGAATTCGTAATGCTACAAATGCGCGATGTTAACTCGCCTAGCACCGACTACAGGTGGAGGCATAATGGAGGTGTCATCATTGAATCTTGGAACAACCTTCTAAACGTGTCAATTCCAAACGTAACTGTGGAGAGTGAGGGGATATACGCCTGCTTTGCTTTATATCAGGAAATGAAACAACTGCATGGCATCATGAGACTAATAGTTAGAGGTGTGTTTTTATCGGTTGTATATTATTTAACAGTTGTGTTATAAAATGATAAATAAGTGTTTTTCCTCCGTGCAGCGAACCAGCAAACGTTTCAGAAAATACATTTGCAGTTGGTCAATTTCTAAATAGTCTAGAGAAAATGTGCAGATTAAAAATATGCTAAGTTAATACATTCTGCGAAGGAAAGTTTATAACCCATTATACAATCCTTTCCTAAACACCTGATATTAAACCCTTGAATCATTAAACTAGCTTTAATTCAGAATCGTTCATTTCCCTGCAATTTGCTCCTTCGTCAAAATTAAATTAAAGGCCGTACGTGTAAAGTCAAAAATCAGGAAAACAGTACCGCCGGGTAACACGCGAGCTATTGCAATTGCAGTGTTAATTTCCCCTTTTTGCAAAAATGGAAAACCCAATTCTGCCCTTACATGGCTCAAAATAATCTTAATTAGCAATCTTATAGCAAATTTTACCCTTCATTGCTACCAGAAATAACAAATTAAGCACACAGCTTGCCCCTTCGTGAAAACCAAAAATAACCTTTTGCAGTGGCGTATCCAGCAACTCCCCCCTGAAGGATTTTAAAAATATTTATTAACTATTCACCCTGTGGAAACAACACCAGTAAATAAAAACAAGGATGTCAGGACCGTAAAGATTTTGATTTTTCCCCCCAATTTTATATCGAATAATTGCGAAGCCGCATTCGTTTTGAACGCGCCCCCTACCCGACATAGGTTTAGTCACAATGATTGTGTTAGCGTTAGACAACGTATTTGATTGGATAATATCGTCGTTTCGTCAAAAAGGTGAAGATTTTTATCAGACAGATCATGTCTTCGTTGTCAGCAACATGGGAATGGTGTGTTCATATACATATATATTGTCAGATTAACTAGCCAGAAGGGTTCTAATTATGAGACTGAGGTATGGATTCCGACGACAATATATCACCAAACTTTTGAAATGTTTCTTTAGTCCTTAAATATGAACATAATATGTGTCACCTTAAACGTCTCTGAACATGTTATGTTTTTCTGCCGAATGTTTAAGATTGTTTTAAATAGATTTCCCCTCGCCTAAGGTTTAAGGATCATGCATCACATTATTATGTGGTTATTGATATAATTATCAGGTTGTCCCTTTGGTTGTTGGGATCCACCTTCGTGTCTGAAAACCTGTCGTCGATGCTACAACGGCGGTGTGTGTGATGACAAGTCTGGTACTTGTGTATGTCCTCCAGGATTCAATGGAGACAGTTGTGAGCGAGGTCAGTAAAAAGGTACTTGGTAGTAGAAGAGGTCAATTATCTATGGTGTTTTAATGAGGAAATAAGATTAATACAACAATTTACTTTGACGAAAGATTCTGATATTCAATCTAACCTATGCTGAAAAAACTGCGTCAGGTCAACTCAACTGAATCTAAAACCAATCGACAGCAGGTAGGTAACTCTGTAACATTGTACAACCTCGTTTTTCCAAAAGGGCAGGGAATGAAAATAAGTAAATGAGCAAGGTATGGTGAACTCTTTACGACAAACATTTCTCTCTCTCTTTAGCCTCCATCCAGGCGACGCAACTATGCGACGCGACGGCACGACGGCTCCCTTGCGTCGTGCCGTCAGGTCGCACCGTCGCAATCTTGCCATTACAATTGTAGACGCACGACGCGTCGCTGTCTTAGGTCCTTTCTTTGTTGCATTTTTTTCTGCCTAAACGTCGCCCCTTCCGTCGCCCACCTAGTTGTGCTGTCATGCGTTCTCATCGTACGTCGTGTCGTGCATTGGGTCGCCTGAAGCACGACGCGATGCACGACCGACGCACGACGCGACACGTCGTGTGCTGTCGCCGTTTGCTTCAGGGTGTTTATAGAGGGCGTCTTTACTGTTTTCTTTCATTTCCTTCCCCGGCCCGTGCTTGCACAGTACATGCCATCGGTACCAGGCCTTGATTCTGTTGTTCTTTCTCGTGGACTCTTTCTAACGTTGTGTTTCATTATGAGTGAGTTGTTGAAGAAAACTCTTTTCCTTTTTTTAAATCAAATGAATCAGAAAGAGCTTCGCGACTTATCAGAATTTTCTTCAGGAAATATATAACATTAATGTCAGCCACAACAATGTTTTAGCTTTTCCTGATTTAATTGAGATTTTTTGAATTATTGTAAATCCATTCTAAGATTATTATGTGCTTGCAAAAAGGATCTGATGAGAAATTAAGCACGAGGCCAAACAGAGAGGAAGAAAAGACACCGTCACAGTGGTAATACAATGGATCTACAGTGTTTTACTATGGAACACGCCAGCGGACTAATATCATTGAAAGTGTGTTGCTGATGAAGTTAACGAGGAAGACTAAACTGAAGAAAGACTGAAGACTGAATATTCGGAGGGTAATAATATAGTGCGGGCTGGGTGGTAACTACCTAAGCTCGTGGTCAAACTTGCGGTCGTGCAATTGTAGACAAATGGGGTGGGAGAACTACTTGGAAACTGCTGGCATGGACCACAGGGAAATATTTATAAGATTAAAAATCTACCACAAATGGGAGCTTCATCAACGGTCTTAAAAAGAAATTGGATGGACATTCGAACAAGGATCAGCCGGGTAAATTAAAAAGTGATGAATTATGGGCATAAACTTATAATGTAAGACCACCTACATACGCAGATTTTCTTTTTTCTCGTTTTCATTTTTTTCTGATAAAATATGAAAAAAGCTTATTCAATTTGATGAACGGATGAAACAATTCCCCCCCCCAAAAAAAAATCAACGCCTGCAACTCAGGGCATGTATTTTGCAAGCGCGATGGACGGAAATGAGAGAAAAATCATTGGCTGGGAAATTAAGGAGTGACGAATTCTGAGCTTGCGGTTTTGACTTATTTTGAGAGAGCAGCTCCTACATATTCGGATTTTTTTGTTCTTTTATCATCTCTTTCAATAAAATATGACAGAAACTAATCCCAATTAATGAATGGATGAGATAAAAACAATGAAAAATCAAAAGCGAATTGCATGTACTTTGCAAGAAAGGAGAGGGAAATGAAAGGAAACAGTAAAGGCGCCCTCTATAAACACCGTAAAGTAAAGGGCGACAGCAAGCAACGCGATGCACGACACGACGCACGACGCAACGCACGACGCGACGGGCGACGGAAGGGGGCTACGCTTAGGCAGAAAAACATGCAACAAAGAAAGGACCTAGGACAGCACGACGCGACGGGCGACGGCACGACGCGACGCGTTGTGTGTGTACAAACGAAATGGCAAGAAGGTGACGGTTCGACCCGACGGCACGATGCAAGGGAGCCGTCGTGCCGTCGCGTCTTCTGGTTGTGTCGCCTGGAGGGAGGCGAGAGAGAGAGAGAAATGTTTGTCGTAAATAGTACACCATAGTAAGGAGACCTGAGAAGGATATTTTCAGGAGCGAAAGGTTTTAAGTGAAATTCGTTTCTTTAACCATCTCAAGGTAACTTTGCAAAATATGTACTCGATGAGGATTAGGGGAAATTCCAACATGAGTGTTTCATGGGATGGTTTCGGTTAGAAATCACTCTTCCCAAAATTATAGAACGTGAAAGGATGTCCCCACATACAGGTAAATTCCCCATAGGCGGACCGCAGGAGGGTTCTGTGAGCTTGCTGCGTGACCTTTTACGTTCAGGCTCTATTTTAGAATGAATTTGTAACCAAGAAAAGTGGAATAGAATGATAACGTAAATTTACTGTGACTGTCTTCATGTGACATTGTATGGATATCGCAGCACATGGTCGTCATATTTTTGGCAAGACTGCTGATCAGCGATGTTCTAGCAGCACTGATCCACACCACGACGCTTGCCGGGGGCGTTTGTTCTGTCTACCAGACCCTTATGGATGCTCCTGTGCTGCAGGTTACAAAGGATTAGACTGCATGCAAGGTACGATCTTAAGAAGTGTACTTATGTCATCTTCTGAAAACAAAAGGATTCAATCTGTATGTTAGAGGAATGCGAGTCTGGGGTTGGAAGTGTTGACATACTGGGGCCTGCTGTTTGTCTTTGGTTCATGAGTCTGCATTCATTTATCTGAATGAAGATCATGAACACGATAAAACGTCCCAAACATTAAACGTTCGTGAGTACAGCAATCAGTATTTAGACATAATGAATAAAGGATAAAATGTTTAATGTAGTTAAGGATTAAATGCTTTACATATTTCTGTTATTTCCCTTATCAATGTCAAATGTTAGACTGTGATGATGGGACGTTTGGTGCCGATTGCAAGCAGACTTGTCACTGTGCTCCAGGAGGAACCTGCAGTAAAGATACAGGAGAATGCAGCAGTGGTGAGAGGAGTTATTCTACATTAATTTATATTCATATGTTAATTTATACGATATTAATTCATATGTTTGCATGATTAATGAATAGCAATTAAATTTAATTTCGGAAAAATTGTGATCACAGCCGATGTTAACCTGATTCAAATTAGATTTGTTTTGACAAATTGAACTTTGTGTTGGTGTTTGTTCTGTCAGGTTGTGCATCATCTTATTTTGGAAGTAACTGTCAGTGTTCACGTAAGTTGAATTGACCATCAGTCAACAAATCATAAGTTTGGGAAAACGATTTTATAGCTGTATTTATCCGAAAAGTAATTGGAAGGAAAGTAATTGGAATGAGGCTACGTCCCCCGTAGTTTTGCCATTGGAGCAGATGTTTCATTTTCGTTCATAAAGTATTCTAGGCTTTTGTGATTGGTACATTTTATCAAAATGACGGAGCCTTTGCAGCTCTGAGACCCCTAAGTATCTAAAAGCTGCAAAGGCTCTGTCATTTTGATTGATACCCATTCTTTAATAACTGCACTATTTTCATGACGCGTTAAAATTTTTTTTTCCCTCTCAGCTCAGAATGGCGTGCTTGGGCTTGAAGTGACGTCAGGCGACCCCCATCAACTGTTCGTTACATGGCAACCAGATCCATGCGCTTCCGGCTACGAATTGACAACCAGGAACGAGTGTGAAGACACTGTATCTCAGCAATTGATACTGGAAAACACTTACCATCTCGTCACTGGTCTAGAGTTACCATTAAGCCATAGAGTTTACATTCTACCAGTCTACCCAGATGATGAACGTGGACCTGAGGTGACATTTCCACAAGCAACCAGTAAGACCCCAGGTTTATGAAGTTGGAATCAATATCATAGGCTGCTTATTAATCTGTTCACAAAAATGAGAAGACATTATTCAATTTACACAGCTGAATGTTTATCTTCCGACGAATAGCTGATCAATTCTCAGTTCGTGACATTTTCAAAATACATATATGATTTGCGTTTTACTAGAGCCAACAGCAGCCCCAAGTAACGTGAATTTCACCTCAGCAACACCATACAGTCTGAGTGTCTCTTGGAGTAAGCCACCTTGTGGAAGCCGAGGTGGCATCATCATAGGCTACACGTACAAACTGACTGAAGTAAGCCCGGAATCCCAAGTAGTCATTCGGTCAATGACATCAGAGGAATCGGTGACCATCGAAGGTTTAACGCCCCTGACTGAGTACAGTTTTCAGGTTGCTGCCAATACCACTGTGGGAGCTGGACCGTACAGTAAGGCTTCAAGGGAGACGACACTGAAAGGTAAGATACCAAAAAGATAACTCGTTCACTGGCATCTTTCTGGTCTGTCATCGTCAGACTGAGCGCAGGTCTCATTGGTTTGCATTCATTAATTTAACTAGTCCGCATTCAGAACAAAGGAAAGGTTCCTTAATTCCTTTTTGGATGAATAGTTTCATGTCTTGCCTTGCAATCCCACGTTTTGATTTGTTTAAAATGCCACTTTAGATTTCCATATTCTTTCATTAACTAACAGTACCCCAAGTGGATGGCACACCAGTTCCTGGCTCATCATCAGCTGTCGCTGGGGGAGTAACAGCTACCGTTGTAATCCTAATCCTTTTAGTAATAGTTGCCATTGCGCTCTATAAGAGGTAAATTTTTTGTAACAGAAAGTTTATTCTATTTTGTCTCGAAGGCACCTATTTTACTAATACCGTTGAGGAAATATTTTACCAACTGCTCTCCTGTACAAAGAAACACTGATTTTTTACAGTACTAATTACTTCGCAATTGTAAGTGTTTTGTTTCTGGTAATCAAAATTATTTTAAGGATATATCTTTCCCATATCAGTAAAAACGCAAAAACTGATTTTTGGTTCTTTAAAATTACAGACAATCTCGTCCGACAAAGAAGCCGTATGATACTGATGGAGACGTTTCACTAAAAGGAAGAGATGTACATTTCCTACCAGGTACACCAGTATGTTTTAGACTGTTTCTCGATGACTGACAAAAAGGATAAGCACATGAGTATCCTTAACAAGCAGTAAAGCAATCCACTTCTCGTTATATATTAGATCCAGTACAGGAGACTCCATCAAGCGCTCACGCTACAGTTAATCCTGTGGAGATATGTCCTGATCCACCACCCACTCCAAAGCCCAAGCCTGACCTTAAACCCCGCCGGGTCTCAACCAACTCACCAAAAGAGACCCAGGAGCAGCCTGTGGTGGACGAAGATGAGGAAGAACTGCCCTACGCTGAGCTGCCCTCGGTACGAGAAGAGAACCTGGCAGAGTACATCCGAAGCAAAGACAAGGCAGGCGAAAAAGGATTCCCTATGGACTTCAAAGTAAGGAGCCTTTGTTAGTACACGATGCACGCTTCGCATTCCAGGTCTGGAGTCATTGTAATGTTCGGTGCCTAACGTAACTTTGCTTTCGTTCCTTAGCTATCCGGTTCGTAAGTGTGACATCACTTCAGTTTAATCCACGCCCATCGCACATGAACTGCTCAAAGAGTTATATGTGTTGATCGTCGTGTACTGGAACCATGGAACCAGAAGTTAACGCGCAACTTCAGCGATCGTCCAATGGGAGCCTGTAAATTGTGGCGCGTCTTCCTTTGCGACAAAGTCAGTTACGAACCGGATACGTTCATAGTAGCGCACACAAGGGGGTTTGGGGTTGAGCCCGATAGGTTTTAATGCTAAAGCTATTATGCGGGAAGGGGTAGGTTCTACACAATTATGTACAATACAAGTGATTCCCGTATTTCCATTGTATTTACTTTCCCGATTATACATGAATAGTTCAGTAATTAATCAAGTGTTTTGAATTGATGAATTATGCATTTGAAATTTTGATTTACTATTACCCCGTACACGTTTGACTTCTCTGTTAAAGGGTTTGCCCAAAGGTTTGCTTCATCCCGCTACCGTGGCAGAAAAACCAGAGAACAAGACAAAAAATCGCTACGCTAACGTCCTTGCCTGTATGTATGCACTCATGCACTCTCTAATATGGGTACATTGACACATTTTGGAATTATCAGATATGAAAATAGTTATCTCTCCTTTGTTGTCACGTGTAGTGATTTTTCAAAATGTGACCTAGTGTGTACGCATTAGAGTGTATTTTGTTTTGTTTTTACCGAACCACACAAAGTACATTCCAGACCTACGACCTATTTAAATGAAACCTGATTTCTGTGTTACAGATGACCACTCGCGAATTGTTCTGCAGCCGTTGGGGAATGATCCTCACTCGGATTACATTAATGCTTGCTTCATAGATGTAGGTTGAGGACATTTTTAACATTCTTACTGTCTCATTGTAAATCAATGTTGAATTGCAATTAACGACTCTTCATGTAGAGATTTCCTAAAGAGAGGAATTTTTTTAACGGTGCTGTTTAAAGAGTGAGTTACGATAGAGCTTGTCCTTATGCACATGCGACTCAGTTTCCAATGCACTGGGGTTGAACGAAATCCAGTCTCTGGTCAGGAAAAGGGCCTGATTCCTTTCTTTTACATGCGGGTACTCAAGAACAAATACCTCGCATCCGTGCTGGTTATTTTCTTGCCGACATTGGTGACATTCAGCAGCCTTCCAAATCATGCATCTTTTCACCAGTTAGTTTCAAATATTTTGGTACACGAGGTTTCTTACAACGTTGACAAGAATATCCAGAGTAATTTTTCGGTTCTTCTCGTCTTCCCCAGGGGTATGACAAGACAGACAAGTATATTGCAAGTCAAGGTAGTGTATTTTCCTATATGTTAGATTGTTAACGAACCCTCCGCTGCACAGGACCTACTTTTTAGGGTTAATGCTCGGACAGGATACAATTGAGATCCCGTCGTTATAACCCTCTTCCCAAATCCACAGTCCCTTCTACTGGCATTTAAATTGATCCCCAAGTACCTACAAATAAAAAAACCCACACAAAACGGTCAGAGTACGGTCACTCTACCCTTTTTCCAGTAAAAAGGGGGGGGGTTCCCACCACAATCAACAAAAATTTGACACCCCCAACGCAGTGAAACTACTCAGACAGCTGTCTAGACAGCTCAAAGACACATCAGAGAGACCGACCATTGATATAAGACAGGCCCAGGCTTGCCCAGGCACTTGGTTTGTCAATAACCATTATCAGCACGTGGCTTAGATATTTACATACAATCCCCATCGGACTTGGCTGGAGGCAGGTTGCTCTGAAAAAGAATTACTCAGCTCAGGGGAAGTCCCCATGTTAAAGGTGACTAAACTAGGCTGTTCAGCATCTACAAAGAGACAAATTAACGGGAGGTTTTTGCATTAGGCCAAATTTTTTTTTATTACGTAATTAGAAAAAATTGGATCCCCGTGGGAGCAACTCCGCTCTACGTCAGGTTTTAATCAAAAGAATAACCAGTGGTTTATTTGGTAGAGAAACTCCATCATTAGTGTAACGTCTTGGTTTGATTTGTCTTTCGTAGGACCAAATAAAGGATCATTAGCAGACATATGGCGTATGGTGCGGCAGTATGACGTGGATAAGATCATCATGCTCACCAATCCCGTAGAGAATGGCAAGGTATGTGTTTTTTCTGTCCAAGAGGCAAAAACTTAAGCTAGCAATATGGGGTTTGAGGGGAACGTATGCACAATCTTTCAGTTTCCTGTCACACGGTAACATTTTCATATTTGTATTTATAAAGACAAATATTGAAAAATAAAATAATAGCAGAAAATCACTTCTAAAAATAATCTTCAACTAAATCGAAGTAACTGTTTCAAATATCAATACGTGTAACTGCTTTGTAAAAGGCTGTCTGAAAATCGTAGCCATTACTACTTTGTATGCTAAGTACATGTCTATACTGAATGAAAATTCCATAGGACAAAATCACTAACAAGAGAATTTAGAGCGATTTTTGCGACCCTTCATTTTAACTAGAACTCACACAGCTCTTGATTTAAATTTGCAAAGAGCAAGTGCCAACCTTGCTAAAAAGTATAGAAATTAATAAAAAAAACTTGGCTGGATTTGAATTTAAGCTCTCCGAAACTCTGCGCTGGTGCCGTACCTTACTAAATGGCACTCAAACAAAATGTATAGATTTACTAATAGAGGCAGCCACTGACAGACAGCTGGATGGTGTGGGTATTGATAAGGCACTTACAAGTTTAAGTCCTGCCAGAGCTTCGGTTAATCTTTTGATAAGAACTGCTAACCCCGAGTCAGTTTTCTTCCATTGTTTATTTGGCTTTGGGTAAAAAGAAGTTTCAGCTACCTATATTTTCATGCCAATGAAAAATTTCCTATTTCGATGAAATGATTTACCACTTAGGTCAAATGTCAGCAGTACTGGCCGGATACTGGATCTAAGATTTACTCTGACGTCCAGGTGAAAGTTGCAGAAGAAAAGACATTTGTCGACTACACGATTCGCCTTTTTAAGGTGATTAAGTTTTATTGCTGTTATTAAAGGCTTCAAACTGTATGCAAAGTCTGATTAATTTTTTTATCGGAGAAATTTCCACGGTAATGGGAATGTCATTTTTGAATTTGCAGTGTCGGGTTTTTCCATCGACATGTAGATGAACAATCATGCCAAGTCACAAGTGCTTCGCAAAGCACTGCACAGTTATGAAAATACACAGTTTATGAGAAGGAAAAAAAGTGCAGTAAGAAGAAGTGATAAATCGCCGAACTAATTTAGCAAACATTTTTCAAGGCTGCTGATACTACAAGGTGTAAAAACTTATGACGACTATTTCTGACGGTATTTATATGATTATATGTGTGTTTTAATGTTTACTGCATTACTGTTTAAATTGAAAAAAAAACACTTTTCGTTGTTCTTCTAGGTTGTCAGTGATGAAGGAAGCCGTCTGGTGAAGCAATTTCATTTCAAAACCTGGCCGGACATGGAACCCCCTGAGTACCCGACTACTTTGCTCAACTTCATGCGCGTTGTGAACAAAGAGCATAACAAAGGCCGAACTGTTATCCACTGCAGGTGGGAAAGACTGGATTGGCCAGAAACAAATCTGGCCTTGATTTTACACAATATTAAAATTTTTGTCTCATAAATAATCCTTCTTATGTACATGTATATCCAAGTAAATAATGTAAATAAGTGTCCGGACTGTGATTGTACATCTCCGTCCTATTACAATGTACTTTCCTTTTGTGATAGGAATTTTGAAGTGTATGGATCCTTTCAGGGCTTGATGGTAGAAAATTGCAATGTCCAGCACATTTTAGTTATTTCAATGCAATTTTTTTCACGATTTTTGGCGATTTCAAATGGCGTAGTTTATTTTTCTTGCGGCACTGAACAAACTGTTTATAAATTCCCCAACTAGGAGAAAGCTAAGTTTGTACCAAAACATTAAATGCATAAACAAAACAATGGCTAAGTGTCCGTTAGCCAAATATTCCCTGTGCCTTTTTTCTAGGCTCAGAATATAGTTATAGAAAAATTCGAATTGTCATAGAGGTGTTGATAAACAAGTTCTAAGCAAGTGTCACATTTATCTTGACCAGCGCTGGTATCGGCCGCACAGGGACATACATTGCTCTGGACTCCATGCTAGATCAGATGCAGAAGGAGCGACGAGTTGATGTGCTTGGCTTCATTTATCGCATGAGACAAAAACGAACTAAGATGGTGCAAACTCCGGTAAGATAAGGAGGTTAAGTTTTCCTTGAAATGCGTGTGGATGATTACATTCCAAACAAGTGAAAGTAAATTGCTCATTTTTGTTGATTATTCGTATTTTTTACATAAATTATTTTAAATGAATGTTTTTCTTCAGGAGCAGTACCGATTCGTTTTTGATGCCCTGCTAGCTGCCTCCATGACTGGTAACACAGCATATGAAATTACTGACTTTCGTCGTCAGCTGACTGCGCTTAAAGAGAAGGCCAAGGGTGCTAAGAAAACGGGCTTGGAAAAACAATTTGAGGTAACTAAATATCGGAACGATATAGGAACAATGTAAACCGCACACAATATAAGTACACAATATAGGCTCTCTGGGTCAATATAAGTTTAATGACGTTTCAGTTCAATGCAAGGTCCATACAAAATCGTTTACATTGAATGTTATTTATATCCGCATTCGACCACCAAAGAGTGTTGTTCGATTTCAGTTTGCGAAAGGGCATTTGTCAATTAATTCATGAATATTCAAACACTCCTTTGTTAATTGTTGGAGGTCTCAGGAAGACGTCGATCAAAAGTACAGTTTACTAGCGAACAATTTCACCATTTCCAATCCACGTTGTCTCTAAATTTGGTATAGTAGGCCTCCTGATGCGCACTTGATTTAAACAGAGCTTTCTTTCTCGGAAAGAAAAACAGAAAACTTTAAATAAACAGAAGAGACAAAGGAGAAACTACGTTTCATGTTAGTTTTGGTAAGCTTAATTTGCATTGATTTATATCATTTTGAGATGTTAGACGTCAACTTTTTCTATGTTGGACTTCAATTTTTTTTATCAGATTAACAATGACCTTTTTGTTAGCAATAATTATATGGTTGGTAAACCATTAATCCCATGGGATTCAAAACCTTCGCAAGAAGAGCAATACTCAAAAAAGCCGCATCATATCTAACTTGAACACTTAAAAGTTTGAAAAAGATTGACCGTAACCAGATTCATAATACTGTTAGACAAGGCATTTAGACAGACGAAAGACGAACAAGAACTCAAAATCCTACACAAGAGACATAAACTCTGCTTCCGAAATAATTTAATAATAAATTATAACTGCAGAAATTAATAAATGATGACTGCAGAAAATATGACAAAGTTGTGACAGAGCTAGTGTCCTGAAAACAATTGCAACAAATAATTGGCACTGGTACCGTACAAGAAAGGACGGCATCATAAGAATTCAGGAACTCTTTAAAGACGACTTCTGGTGTTACATAAGAATATAAGAGCACCATACAATTGAAAATACTTTGATGAATTTAAGTAGACTTTAAAAAAAAATTGAAGTTGAGACCTACACTAAGTGCTCGAAAGTGAAAGGAAATACAATAATGAAAAAGTAAAGCTTTGGTACTCCGGCAAAATATTGTTTGTTTTAAGAAAACGAACATTATTGTACTGGAATTGGTCTTGAAATACTTCGTTACAGTTGATTTGCGCTTGTACTTTTCTTCAAGAGAAAATAGTGCAAACTAGAAAGAAGAGATTGAAATCAAACGCCATGTAACCTTAGTGTTGCATACCGTTACCTATAATGTACACAAGAGGTATGCGCTCCAAAGTATCTCTTGCATGTGACAACAAATTCTTTAGATTACAGGAAACAATCACTACCGCTGAATGGAGTAGGATCACGTATATCTTGTATCAAACACTGCACCGCTTGTGAAAGGACAAAAGGTTAAATAATTGGACAGAATTTTTCACAGAGTTTCTTTACCCTTGGCGGTAGACCCTGCTCAAACTGCTGGCAATGAAGCGCAGTACGGAGCGAGAAACTCCGCAGGCTGGACTGCGCCCTGAGAATGTGGACAAGAATAGATTTGCTGATTTCCCCGCCAGTGAGTAGTCAAATTTAAACAAATGTTTTCGGTACGTCTGCAGGGCTTATCAATTTTTGCATAACATGTGTACCCATTTGACGGTGTGGTTTCTGTATTTCTCCACTGTACTGGCCTTCAACTTTTTGTCATCTATACCGCTGATTTTCAAAATACTGCTATAAAGACGAAATGATCGTTATAAAGTCAAGGAAAGGGTCTCGAAAGGTCACTCCTTTAGGAACTCTTGATGTAAGTTTCCAATTTTTTTCAGTTTTGAAAATATCATAGGGCAGCGTAAAACGCTTTTCTATCTACCCTTATATACTCTGGAAAACGTGGTCATTCGATATTTCAGAGTGGGGTATATGTAATATGTGTCTCTAGTAAGCCGATTTGCACAGCTGAATTTCAGGTGCAAAAACGTTAAATGTGAGAGACAATTGGCATTTTTTTTTGAAGTAAAGTGCTTTCTGCTTTGAGGTAGGAGTGAAGTTCTGTTAAATATAATTTTTATACTGTGTTGGATATATTTCTTTTTCTTAGGAACGACACGAAGCATTGTTTTTAATAAAGTACATTTACTTTGGTAAATACGCCTTTTATAGTCTTGAGTTTTGCATCTCATTTAAGCCACGACTTTCCCTTCATTATTGTTTTACCAATTGTTCAATCATTTATCAGTTGTCGTTAAGGTGCAGGTGGTAACAAGTGAAAATATTTAGGAAGTACTTGTGCAGTATCAGTTACGACGCTGATGTAACGTCCTTCGGTACGGACCATTTCTTTCCACAGAGCAACGTTCCCGGGCAGTATTGATGACTAGCGTATATAAAAATGACACCGATTACATCAACGCACATTTCCTACCGGTAAGTTGATCAATTTGCTCAGATGGGGATACATTACGACCAATAATTGTCCAAATCTCCAGTATATTACCAGCATTTTTACAAATTTTTGCACTTTCCTCCCACTTTATCATGAAGACTTAATCTGCAAACTGTTTTGGTTAGACATTTGTCTAAATTTCAAAATGTTACTAAATTGTACAGAAGATATCGGTTGTATTGTGCTGAAAGCCTAGCCTTAAAATGCTGACATCAATTAGCTTTATAAACTTCAAATTGAACTCGAAGTTTGTGTGAAGTGATAAGAAGAAGGAACTTCCATTACCCTTTTCATTGTTAACGTTGAGGTCATGTAAGTCCCTCCACTAGTCCTTCCAATTCCAGTTACACCTTTTGGAGTTCATCTACAAGAGCAGTCACCAGAAGCAAAATCGGGAACAGTGACAAAGAAATGATTGCAGGAACTTGTGGTGGAATCGACCACATTAATTTAATCCGTTTTGGTTCTTGTGCTTCAACAGGGCTACCACAAGAAGAGCATGTATATCAGTACGCAGATGCCTATGCCAAACACCGTAGCAGATATTTGGCGCTTGGTGTATGACTACAAAGTGGGTTGCATTGTCATGTTGAACCCGTTGGATCCAGCTAATGAGGTAAAGTTATTTATCAAGTGCACCTGTTCTCATTTGTGGTCGTCCAGTGCGTCAATAAAACAGTGAATACAACCACTGCACATAGCTTAATTTAGCTTTTAACATTGACCAAGACCTAAAGATTCATAAGATCATTGTGCTGCTGTGACGTGCAGTTTCAAACCGAACCGGCCGATGTTTATACTGGGGACACCAATGTGTACATGACATGTAAGCTTTCCTGTGGGAGCGTGACCGAGACGACATCAAGACGTTGGGCGAATTCAAGCAGTATGTTGTTTTTCCTCGCCCAGAGTTTGTCAAGTCATTCATTACAGTATTTTGTAGTTCTCAGTCCTTTCTGTTTTGCTTTACAGACTATGTGCCAGTACTGGCCAGAGAAGACAGGTTCGACAATAGAATTTGGCCCACTTCTTGTCGAGCTAACAGAGACGAAAGAGTACGACAATGTAAGACAGCGGGTGTTTACTCTGAGAAACAAGGACCACAAGGTAATATAAAACCAAGGCATTTATACTGGTGGCCGGATAGGGTTTACCAACCTTTTACAAGGAACAATGCCACTGAAACGTAGAGACAGTAGGCCCAATAGGCTTAATTAGGCTGACATGTTGGTACTTTGGTGAGATATAGTCATATTTGGTACAGTGCACCTACCGAAAGGTGGCTAAACCCACACCCCGGCCCCCTTCCAGAATAGCCCGTGCAGAAAGGATTTCAAAGAAGAAAAATAGAATACAAATATTTTCAATTTATAGCAGATCAAAGTTGCAATGAAATAAAGTTACAAAAGAGATTTTTCCATGCCAACAAATGAGTGTAAACTTTATTTAAAAGGCCAATAGTATCGCGTGTAACAAGCAGCAACTACATATATGTAGATGTGATTTGCAAGATCACGAATTAATGTTTGGTTGGAAGGAGTCCCCCACACGACCGTCCCTTGTCGTGCGAATCATGTCCAATTTAAACCTCCGGATGATAACCGATCATGTATTCTTTCAAATCTAACTTGTTACAGACTGAAGAGGAACCCCGCACTGTCTGCCAGTTTGAGTGTCTAGACTGGCCCTCCGATGCGGACAAGCCCACCTCCTTGCACGGAATGCTAAATCTCATGGGACTTACTCAAAAGTGGCTTGACAAGGACACACCCATCGTGGCTCACTGCATGTGAGTAAAAATGATCTTACCAGCAGCGACGAGATTTTGTAAGACCATGAGATTGTGGAACACCCTGTAGGAGTTGCAACATTCTCGTCATTTTGAACATATATGTTTTCTACATGGGGTAAATTGATAATAACGGAAATGAAATCTTTGATGGAATTATTACGATAATGATGACAGTTTAAAAAGCTGACATTTTTTACTATCTAGTTCCCCAGTGTGGAAATATGCTACTGGCTAATAGTGAGGTTTAAACTTGTTTTGTATCCTTCACAATGATAAATGGTTTATTTCTTCCTGGAAGTGATGGCGTGGGTCGCAGTGCCGTCTACTGCGCCATAATGTCACTTCTGGAGCAGTCTAAAGAGGAGAAGCTTGTAGACGTGTTTCAAGCCGTGTTCCGCCTCCGGATGGCACATCACAATGTGATGTACTCAGTGGTAAGTGAACGTTCTGGATATTTGCATCTGCAAGTTTTATATTATGCATTATACATTTCATAGTAGTTATGAAATGTACTGTTATGATTTATCCGATCAAAAGCTTACTTATTGTTTTCCAAGAAACTTTAATGGTGACCTTGCAACAACTCGTCCAGCAGTGACAGATGAATCCTTTGCCTTGGTAGAGTTGAAAGAATTCACATTGAAGGTCTTACTCTTAAATGGAAGCAGCGTAGTTTAGCATGCCTGAAATTTATGCAGGGAATCATTTCGAAAACACCGGTGTTGTAATTTGTACTGAAAATGTAACGTGCTGTGGAGTCACATTCAATGATAAACACACCGGTTTTCGGGGACATATTTTTAGCGGTTACCTAAGAAGCTGGGCGGATTGGAATTTTGAGGATTTAAGTTTTGCGTTTCATGGTTCATCATGGCTTGGCTTGGTTTTTATAATTCTTTTTTTTTTACAGGAGCACTACACACTGTGTTACGAGATTCTTCAATTGTACTTGGATTCCAATGTCATCTATGCCAACCTGTAGAATGCTGACTTGCAGCAACACCTTCACTTCAAGTTGTTAATTGTTAACAAAATTCTACTAAGCAAAATCGAAGCCTCCGTTTACAAATTTATTCGTGGTGGGATTTGTTCTTCAGGTGACTGGGCAGGCAGTTTTTTTACGGGGAAAGGGGGGGGGGCTTAAGCCTTGAACATTTGCCTTTTCCCCATGCAAAAATGAAAACAAAAAGTAGAGAGAGTTGAGAATGTTTCAAGGGGGCGTCATGTGCGAAGGGTCTAGCCCCTCCTTCCCCAAAAAGATGGCTCCTAACCAGTGCCTGTGACTGGGTATATTGCAACTTGACCATTAATTAAGCACTGTAATTTCATTGCAGTAGAAGATTTGTCGCTGTAAGTGCCTGTATTAGCAAAGTTTGCGCTGTTGGCTTTTTTATACTCAATGCAGTTCTAGTTGCCCTGGGTGTGAAATGAAATTTCAGGTTGGTTCTAAATTAACTTCTACTTGTATCCAAAAATGTGAAAGACAAAAATCAGTTAGTTAAATGCAAATACAGCTTCTAAGTAAGTCTCAGTTGAAAATCAAAAGCCCTTTGATGAAATACATTTCTTGAATGACTCATACTTATTAAATAATCATGTGTGTAATTTACATGTGCATTTCGCAAAATTAGATTCTGTTACCTCTATTTGACGTGCAGTTTATTTATGTAATCTGTGTAATCGTTGTTTGTGCGATCGCTCTCCCGTTAACTGTCATTTATCATTGATATAAATATGGTAGACAGGTAAGAAAGGGTTTGCATGTTTTGGGATGCATTTCCTAGAACCTGTCTTGATGCAAGCTGTGGAACAGTTTAGTTCAACATGAATATGAAAAAGATTGTTTTTAAAATCCTTCTCTTTACCTTGTGTGTGCTATTTGTCAAGATGTTTGCTTATAAATAAGCTTCAGTTAAGATTGTGCTGAGCAGAGAGTGCACTGGTTGGAATACGCTTGTACTCATGTGCGAGAACATTTGTAGTCTAGCGTTAAGGACTTTATCCATACATCCCTAATAAATATTGATTTTCTGCAGCCAATCAATCACAACGTTTACTTCACTCGTGCAAATTGTACTTACAAGTAAACATGAATAATTAATTAGATGAACAGATTGATCAACTACATACAAGAAAAGCAACAAGGAATAAGTAGAAACCATAAGACCACCACTTTCCTTTCGGGACCATGTAAAGTTTTCACTGCAAGTGACCTATTTACTCGGATGTAATGATTAGCGGTCAATATATTTGCTGTTACCAGTAAGCAGTTGCTTAGTTTTAATATGCATGAAATCTGTAAACGTTAAAATGCAATCCTCTACACAGAATCTTTCCTTGAAATATATTTTAGACGAGTAGTTTTATTAGGGTTACACTTCCATTCAATGATGCAAATAGAAGAATTCATTGCTTCTCTTATCACCAAAGAACATTTAACGCTATTGTGTATCAGCAACAAATTGTGCTTTTGGTATCTTGATATTCTTGCGGTTTTATAATTGCCTAATAAAATAAATTTAGTTGGTAATGATTGTTTTCAAGATAAACTCAACATAACCTCCAATGCCCATTGGCTAAACATGTGAACCAAATACATCTACCGTTTCACAATGTGTTTCTAACGTTCTAGAACTATGCCGTATGCCGATAGGATCATGTGTGCAAATATAACCGATAAACTGGAAAAGTATGGATGCATTAAGATATAATTCTCTCAAGGTCTAAGATTGGTATTTTCAACAGTTTTAATGTTTTGGTCGAGCCTTTGTCGTTTACACATGTGCAGCGTTGGCCTTTAAAAGTAAGCGTTTAATTATGCGTCATTGAATCTCGTTTAGGCTGACACAGGTTGTTTTTTGAAAGGACCAAGTTTTTTAGGAGCAAAGCCAATTGGTCCCACGCAAAAGCTGATAAGTGGTCTTTGTGGAAAAGTCCCGCAAGTCTTCCTTTGCAATTTTCATATTCAGCTTTTCAGATAGTACATCCAGATTGTCCAATGCTTATTTTGAAATTCTTTGATGTTGGTACTTTTCGCCTGAAAATAAACCCTAAAACCAACCTAACACCTCATGTTAAACCGTCTATGAGATATCTAGCTCGAGCAGCATCACAACTTTGCAACATCACTTGAAGAATACTTCCTTTTCTATAGCGTTACGGGTTTGTCCTGGTCTAGGCTAAGGGAGACTTGTCCCTCAGTGCTCTACCATAAGCTTGTGGAACTGAACCCACAACGGTGAAGTCCACAGTACTGTAAACCCAATTGTTTGTTTTGAAAATGTACAAGTGAATGTTTTCATAAGTTCTGTGGCTTTACATCCAGACACAAAAGAGGTGAAGTCACATTACGATTGAGCTAGAGTTTGAAAGACTTGCATCACTGCACAGTTCGAAGTAATAACAGAGCTTACCTGATACTCCATAAATTGAGTGAAGAAATAAATCATAACAAGGCCTAGAAAGTCTCCGGTTTCTGGTCAGGGATAGGCTCAAAAGTGGTGAGGGAACGAGCTTTCCCGTTACTTACTTTTTTAGAAATGATTTAAAGGTGCGATTGCTTTAGAACACATAGACTGTTACTCTCCACTGTTTCAAAGTGTTTCTAGTTTGCAAACATAAGAAAAACCTTTTTTTGTCTTGTTCTTGGACGTACAACTGACGACAAATCCATCTGAAAGAGTGCTCGCCAGATATAGCACAATCTGTAGGGGGACCAAAAGGGCTCTCTTCCTATATTGTTCGATAAAACACGCTACAATTATGCAGAAGCAGGATTCCAGACCATGAAGCAAGTTTGGCAGCTTTGGGGCATCATCTTAAAGTACCGAATAAAAAAACTTGTTTATTTTGCTGATGCTGAAGTCTACTGCAGTGTGCGCACTGACCCGAAACTGGAAACCTTTTTTCGCGTTTTATATTAAAAGTTCGTAGGCCTACTTTTACCAAGAATAGAAAATGACAGTGGAAACAGAGAAAACATTGCGAGTCTTCAGCAAACAGCAGTATAAGCTTTCCGGATAGTTTCCCGTCTTAGCCCCGTTTGAAGGGCAAGTCTGTCAACAAAAAGCTCCAATACCTCCATGCTGAAAGAGCCAACTTTCCATTAGTATCGAGTTTGCCTATACAGGTTTAAGTATGCAGATGGAAAAAAATAAGTTTAGAATTACGTTCCTTGCGAGGGTGTGTGTGTGTGGTATTGATTTGTTTTGCTTTTTGTCATTTGATGTTTCTTTCTAGATTTTAAAAACAGATAAAGAAAAATTGAAACTGAACCACATATGATTGCCTTTGAGGTGAAGCGTGCATGTGATTGTACTACAGCAGGGAGCAAATTGCGAAAAAAAATTAGCTTTTCCGGTCTATTTATGGAGCAGCAATGATGCATGTCCGCAAAGTTGGGTTTTGTTGTTCCTCATTTTGTCTTTTTATGGATGCGAGGAGCCAGGGTGGTCAAGGTCAGCCATAAGAGTCGGCAGTTACACATATTTTTAACAGTTTATCTGGAGCTGCTGAAGAGGTCTGAATCGGTGGACTATTATATTGGTTCATACTCGTTGATTTGCACACACGCAGTGCGAAATGTGAACGTCGCATTTGATGTTCATACTTTGATGTTATCTCAAGTCTCGGGTGTGTGTGGGTATCCGACAGAAGTAAAAAACAAAACATCATCTGTCCGAATACGCATATTTGGTGCGTACACACTATCCATTATCTTCACAAACTGCATGCATGGGCGCGCATTTCATTACGTACTGCACTTTTGTTCACGGATTACAGACATTAGAAATGTTAAGTTTGAACTCATTGAAATGTTGTCACTTTCATTGAAGTTCAAGGCTACATGCGGGCATTGGGTATCGCAGTAGAAAAAAAATATAAATTATTTTCGGCTGAACTGTCGCGGAAAACTGCGCGCTGTGCCAGAACAGTTTCTCAAATTTTCGCAAAATTGGTGTCACCCTTGTTTTCTGCTATCTAGGGATTACCAGTGACATTATACATTTTATATTTTTTTTTACTTGAACACCAAGGTCTTACGCTTGATCTTTGGGGCAATGGAGTTACGACGAGTCAAAGTTCTACCTCAGGTAGTGAAGTTACATATGATGCTTTGGATCGCGATATAAACATAATTTCACACGCAGGTAACTAACTTTTTGGTTTGAGTTCTATTCCACAATTTTCAGGAGTAACCAGGCCACTGGGTTTGTGTGGTGTAAAAAAATTAAATCAGATTTTTGTTACAACTTCAATACTTTGTAGTGAAAGTGCAATGGGTACATGCGCTTAGAAATTACGAAGCCACATTCCAATGTGTTAAAGATACGTTCCAAGCTTAAAGGTAGATATCACTACTGCAAAAACACAAAAACGAGACTGCCGAAAAATCCCTGAAAATTGTACATGAAAGAAACTAAATAACAGCCTCAGTCAATCTGCAAAACATTTCAGCCCAGAAATCTGTTGTTATTGAGAAAACAGAAATTTTGTTCTGTTTTTAACGATGGTTGGCCGACCATTGTGTAAAAATGCGTTTCGTCTTAAATATCTGTTAACGGGTGCCGATTTTGTAGATATATTGTAAGAGTCATTATTGACTCTTACGAATTCGTCGTAAATACGTGCGATTTCAGTCATGAAAGTATGTATTCATCCAATTTTGATCAGGACACTACTTCAGTCGTCATTTTTAATACTTTTTAGTTGAATATTAGGAAATACAAATTTCTTGGCTGGGATATCCAGTTTAAAGTTGCGTCACTCAAAGACAAAACATCAGATTGCCATTCCATTTAGCACACTCTGAGTTCACAAGACATTTTTGTTGTTTTCTTACTTTCCTTTCCGTTTATGTGCAAGTCATTTAGCGCTCAGCACATTCAAATTAGCATACATTGAAACAAACGGCAAACAACGTAACGAGCAAGTGTGTCTGCCGTAAATACACGCCAATGGGAGCGGTGAAGAGACTCACCAGTGTCTCACGACCAGCTATTTGTTTACATACCAGTACCTATAGTTCAAGTGACAACTGCCAAAGAATCTGGAATTTTAATGCCAAAGCGTTAAACATGTCTGTTCATTGGTGAATTAATTTGTTGGACCATTATGTTCTTTGCTCAAGACGGTGGTCAAATATGAATAATCCTTGCTAGTTTTTTCAACTGATTGAATGTGTGTATTTTTAAATTTGATTGCTGTGTGAAGACACTGACGTCAGTAGCGTACGCCAGGTTTTGCTATGTACTTGGCAAAAACAAATAACGGCCAACTGCAATAACCTCCCATGTAATCCTACCTCTGTTAAAAGAACCTGGTTTAGTTACGGTAGACGTGGGGGCTTCCCCTTAGCCAGAAAAATACTCTAGCCAGAGTCTGGCCAATTCCAGTGGCGAATGGCAGACATCAAGGACTGTATATGTCAACAGCTGCCTGGCTTGCCCTGACATGCCTGTGACCTGCTGAATGCTGTCGGGCTTCTTTGATATGAAACGCCATTACTGTCTTCGGTGGCTTAATTTCGTTCTATTTACCAATTTCCCACTCCATTCGCCAATTCCGTCCTTTCATACGGCATTTTACCATTACATTCGGCAACTTCGTTGTTCTATTTGGCTATACCATCACTCAATGAGTCCGTTTACCATTCTAGTTGGCAATTACAATTTCACCAATTCACGTTGCATTTTACCATTCTGTTGGATAATTCCAACATTCAGTTTGGTAGTTGAATCATTAAAATGAATGGAATGATGAAAGCACAAAACAAAATGGCGAAATTACCAAGTGGAACGAAGAATTTAAAGCGTAGGACGAAAACGCGCAAACCGGTTTTCGCTGCATGAAAAAAAGTGAACGCAAAACAAACGATTGAAAATGCCAAACAAAACTGCAAAATTACCGGATTGAATGATGAAATTGACAAATTAGATGATGATATTACCTATTTGAATGATTCATCTATCAGAGTACTTTCCGAGTTCTTTTGTCCTAAAGAGTTAATTTTAATCAAACACTGATGGTCTGAAGTCATTATGTTGCTTTGTAATCTTACCTTTATGCATGTACCAGGAGGCGACGGATAAAGGAGGCGACGCCGCGACACACCGCAATATTGTTGTCTATAATACACCCTCTTTGGCACAGATACGAGCCAACCGCAGTTATGTTTTAAACTTACTGCTTGAAGAAGTTTTTGCCATGAGTCAGTGGCATATCCAGCGGGAAGGGGGACGGACTTTTTCATATACTTGTTATTTTGTTAAAATTTCTTTTTCAAATGAGAATACTTCATACGTGAGTAAGAAAAAACTAATTGAAATTTTTAATTATCAAAGAAACAGGTTATATTTTTCCTCCATTATCACGTTGAATGAGCTCGAAAGTGCATTTGCTTTTGAATTCCCCCCCACACAGCAAAAGCCACTGCCATGAATCCACAGATTTATATATTTGAAGAGGTGTATTACTTCAAGTGAATACACTGATTATTCTTGGCCTTAGATAGAACTCCAGTATATTTTGAACCTTTAAGTCAGCCAATCATAGAAGGGAAAAATGGTGTAGGCCCTAACCTCCCTTAAGACAAAAGCTGTATTTTTCACAATCTAAGTTGTCACTCTTCATCGAAAGTAGCCCCTTTTTATTGACGGTCACTTTTGCAAATGGGCTATAATAAAATCTGTAGAAATATTGTTGAGCTCTTAACTTTAAAAAAATGGGGAACATTGTTACCGCACGGACATGCAATCCTGAACATAAAAAAACCCAGAGAGATGGGCCAGAATATGAAAAGTAAAAGTGCTTCATTCTACAGCCCTGATGCCCCACAATGGGTGCTCCATTCAAAAGAAATAGTGAAAAGTAAAACAAAAAAAGAAAAACAAAGTTAAATTTGAAAGGAACGGTAAATTTTACATAAAAAGCATTTAAAAATGCAAGAAATTGAAAATGAAATTGCCAAAATAGTTTAAGACACCTAGTGAACGTCATACGATGGCTGCAAAGCTGTACACTCTATTCCTGGTTGGTCGGTCGGTTGGTCAGTTGGTTGACTTGTTGGTTGGTTCAGTGTAGCAATTGTTATCACATTTTACAGGTGCCACTTTCCTTTGCAACACTTCTGTCGATTGCTATCCTTCTTGGGTACTCTATCAAGCTCATTGCTGCTCTTACCGGGCAGACTCACGTGAACGGTGATTGTCTGCAATCACAATATAAAATGTGCTCCCAGATGAGGGGAGATCCAAATGGTTTGGTTGGCCCAAACGGGGAAGATGGTGCTAAACGCCAGAAAGGTGTGCTTGGTGCAAATGAAGCTGTTAGCAATTTAGCCGCGAACTTGGGACGTAAAGAGACAACAGAATTGGCCTGATCGGTAAGATAGGTCTTGAAGGTCAACCTTCTAATTGTTTAGCTGTCCCCACCGGGGAAGTAAGCCAAAATGTTGAGTCAGAGAAGGCGCAAAATCCACCCACCGGTTGGTTGTTTGGTAGTTTCTTTTTCCTCTTTTTAACACTGAACGTTTTTGTGTGTGAGTTTGTAGACTATTCACAAGCGAAGACCTTGTAATTTCAGTGGTTAATAATAGTCATCACTGCTCTTATACTGTGCTTTATTGGTGGATGTTGCTAGTAAATTCTGCCAGTCATTAATGTAAAAGTGAATACTACGTTATTATCAGCAACAGTTTTAAAAAAAATCCTTATCAAGTGTCAAACATAACCCCTGAGGAAAGTGACATTCAATATGTGTAGTACGCAATTATAACAATGGTAAGTTAGATATTATCTTCAAAGGTGTTACGTTGGGAATATAAATGTCGGGAGACGAATTCACAACAAAAACGAACGAACCGATAACGTGATTATAATGAGTGGAAAATGCTACAAGAACAGATAATGGTTTATCTCTCTACACCAAAGAGCAAATCGTTGGTGTTCCTTTTTGCAACTCCTTCGTGACTGAGAAAATGTGTACCGACAACATCCACAACGTGACACACCAGCGTATAAAATGGCACCCGACGATTTGCATCTTTGTTTCTCTTAACATATTAAATTTGTAGCTAGTCTGTAGCCTGGTGCAGCAGGTTTGAGAGTGACAAATACAGGTTTATGCTGTGACCCAAAATACAAGACTGGGTACGTTTCACGGTTTTGTTGCTACGGATATAGTTCTTTGGTTGCCCCGGTTATAGTTTTTTTCAGTGCAAGGTTGCATGTTTATAGTGTTTTTGAAGTGGTGGTGCAAAACTAGTAAAACTGGATACCGCCACATGAAACACTTTTGGCCAATCAAGATACAGAATCTGTGGTCAAAGTGCATCAAAATACGTCACAGGTGCAGTTTGGGAGAGGGGATTGAGCTTTAGCCACGCAGACGTCCATTTTTATGGGGTGGTCATGCAAATGGATAGGTGTGTACATTCACCTAATACTGGATAGTATTCAGGACTAGGGCAGCCAATCATATGTTGTCTGCCCGGCAAACATGGCATGGATCAAGCAAGCTAGTGAAAGGTCGTTAAATCTGGGTAAGACCTTATTTAGCAGTCGGACAGAGATTTTATCTTTTAACGATACCCGAATGGAGAATACTTTTGTGGTGTTTAACTGACTCTTGGAAACTGCATCACTACATTCATTAAAAAAAAAACTTTTCGCCTGTCCAATGTGGCGTGGTTTTCTTTTGGCATGCTTCTGTGCTGCCTCCTGTGCAGTTAAAGCTTCAAAGCCATCTTGAACTCTCGGTAAGTCATCTTATATAGCGACCTCGTTGCAGATAAGAGATTTGGCATTCAAATACCTGATCATATTATTAAAGGTGTAAGCGAGTCAAATGGTAGCCTGCATAAAGTGCATGAATAGATTCTACAGTCTAAGTTTTGTACTTCTGCGTGTTTTGTATGTGCATTTAGACTATTTACAGCTGTTAGACAGTATCCTGTACGTATACCAGCCTTCTGGGTCTGTTTGGAACATGCGTTTCTTTTTTAGGATATGTACGTAAAAATAGAAAATATGCTTTGTTTCATTTGTTTACATTGTGGACTCGGAAAAACGATGCGCAAGTTTTTTATTGGTTGACCCCATATTGGTTGTGTTGTAACCAATGCATTGTTCTACTTGTAATCAATGCGTTAGTTGTTCTTCAACTAATCATATTGGTTGAGCATTCGAAAACAAGGGAAGATCAATAGGGTTCATGTCCAGGCTATGGCAGACAGTTGCATAATTGAGACACCGAATGAAGCGTAAGTTAGAAGCAAGGAAGCTGGGTTTGGTGTTGCTGCATCTGTTTTCGAATACTCCTCGGACCCCTACTACCGAGCAAGTCTTTATTGGTTTGCTGGGGATGAAGTCATTAACCGATTCTCAGTCCTTCAACTTACTGATTCAGTGCTAGCAAAATGATGGCAAACCTCCTTAGGCACGGTTACTGTGACTAATAATGAATTCAAAATGAGAACGATATGCAAACAAAAGAGGACTCTCATCTTATTTGAAGCTTGCTGCATTTATTTCATTTGATATGAGGTTCTTATTTATTTTATTTGAGATTCTTTATCTACTTTCGATAGTATATAATCAGTGTCTTAAAGTGCACTTGACAACATTCTTGTTCTCTTGCTGCTGACATCCTTACCTAAACAATATTTGTATAGGCCTACTAAGACAGCAATGGAGGCAGAACGTAAGTTATTTTCTGCTTCTCTACGTTGTAACTTCTTGCTATTCTTGTCCATTTCCCACAGCAAACACAAGAGAAGATATTTTAACGTTCTTTGCTTGAGATAACACGATGAAAGCAACTTGAGTCTAAATTGTATGTTACCTTCATTTTTGATATAGTTGTAGCAATTGGGATAGGGAGGGTTTGTGAGACAGACTTGCAGACCACCATTGACAGTTTGTGATATCTGTCTACCAGTGGTTTGAAAAAAAAACGTTGACGGCTGTCTTTTTCAAAATAATAATAATGATGACTAATAATGATGACAGGCCAGATTTGTTACACTAAATAGTAAATGCTGTTCAACATTGAAGGAAAATACCTTACACTCTAGCCTGAATCAGTGGTGTAACTACCGGGGTAGAGGACGTGCCCCGACCATGTGTCTGTGCCCTAAGTCCCCCCTCTTTGAAATATGTGAATTTTCTCCTTTGAAATGCGGCTGCAGCTCATTTTCTTGACTCTGTCAATTCACACATAACGTAAGGCTTAGCTTTTAACAAAGAAAGTTTATTTAGCTTGAATGTATTGTTGTTCATAAGCCACTGACGTGTATTCATGACAGAGGTGGTTAATCTATACGTAATTTGTTACAAGGTTACTCTCCAAAGAGTACTTTCTCTAAAGGAACTAAAACGAGGTTCTTTTAAAACGAGATTTTTTTGAAGCAGTTAGCATGAAAGGTTTGCTGGAATTTCACGAGCGTTCAATGTACGTTAATGTGTCAGGTTGTTGTTTTCTGTGTTTAATTGAAAATCATGGATTTGAAAAAAAACTTTATCCTGAACTTTGCTCTGTGCCGTGTATTTTGAAATACTTGAATAATATACGCTGTATGCCTGTAAGCCTCTAGCAAGAAAGCATTCAAGTAAATCTACTCTAATTTTTCTGGAATAATCACTATCGAAATGTTTTTTAAGCGGCTGGTTGGTTAGGTTACCCTCTTTAAATATCAATGCATCCCAAGGTAACATCCAATACAGTCAGAAAAGCGACATGAACTTCAAGTGCAAGGCATGCGTGGAAGCCGCCTCTCCATTGGACGTCGTAGAGGTCCAGGCAGATGTCAGCCAATTTCACTTTAGGGACGCCTACGCAAATTGATGGTGGTTCACGGGCTACAATTCAAAGACAATTTAATCTAGTTTAGTCAGAAATCTTTGAAACTTGTAAACACTTTTGTTAAAAAAACCTAAGAAGTGTAGCTTAAATATGTTTTTTTCACTACCTAAATTCAGCTATTAAAATAGCTGTCCAATTTTGGAAAGCAGTTCAAAGTACGGAATTTTGAGATAAACACTGTTTCACGATGAAATAACGGAATTACCATATATCAAAAAGTTGGTTTTGAAAGGTATTTCTACGCGTCTCTCTGTGTTTTCCTTCGTTGCGCTGGGGGAGGGCAGCTATTTTTTCGTACGCTACGATGCATGTCACAAGGGAAAATATTTGTTTTTTTCAGCTAGCACTGATTACCTTTGAGCAAGAATGAAAAGTTGTACCTCCCAAGCTAAAACTGCAACTACTAACAATTCTTTCACTCAACTTCGACGGAATAATCTCCATTATATATAAAACAAAGAAAACTGTTAATTATAAAGTAAAACTCTCAACTGGTTATCCCATGGTTGAATTTGTCTGCGTGTTGACAGGAAGAGCTATAGCGATGACGTCCCTGACATAAAATCGTTAAATTTGTTTCTTCGAAATAAATCCAGCATAAGGCATCTAACGGTGCAAGCTTTGTCCAAGTCTTACCTGACACCTCTTTGTCGAGAAGTGTTTTACCAAGGGCTTTTATTTTGATATGAAGGCCATAATCTCGTGTAAGAACCTCGACGAAAACACAGGCTTGAATGAAATTGAAAATAAAAACAATCATTCACCTCGTGAAGGGCAAAACAAGACATAAGCAACCCAAAGGGACGAATCTTTATTCAGAATGGTAAAGGGCTTAAAAGGGACCACTACTTTGACAGTAGCTAATAAGTAATAAGCACCCACAATTGAATGGATTTCACATAACATCCGTAAGGAAATATAGGTAACCGCCCAAAATAAACAAATAGCCATAATGTAATAATGCAATGACCTCTTGTGTCAGCCGATTTGGCATTACAGACGTTTCTTCTATGCGTCACCAATTTAATTTGCATGGTATTTATTTTTGGTATCCAGGGCCAACGCATTTAAAATAATAGTACATAATGCAGATTGATCTTTCGTTGAATAGAGAAAAGGTATCATTTCATATTGAATCTGGTGCAAATGACGAGATTATTCTTAATTCTTGTTGTAAGAATTGGATTTGGCTGACCGTCATTTGTATGTATTAAACAGCAAACCAAGCCAAACGAAATAATGTCAGTTTTCTTAGGAAAGCGATTTCAACATATGAAACGTTTTGCTTAGCATGGAAACAATTTGTTATGAAATTCTATGTTCTTAAATCTTTGGCTACGTATTCTCGTTCCTTTATACCGCCTTGTTACCTCAGGGAACTGGGTAGAATATTCAAAGCAATCCTTACCATCAAGATTGATGCGTCTTAAAAAGACCTTGAAAGACAATTTACCGCAGCATTCAGCTGAGTGACGACCTAACTTGCATGAACCTGATGCTCCTTTGCCTATGACTTCGGATTCATGAACTAGAAGTTATAAGAAGGAGAGTACGCAGGTTAGATGAAATGTTGTCAAATATGTAATATGGGAATGAGAACTTCGTCCTGTTCACTTCATTTTAGGTAATGCGTACAAAAAAGGGGTATGGGCTGTTCAGCATTAATGAAAACATTGCACCCTCAGCGCAGGTGAACAGGAAGGACTAGCAGGTATATATTCTGTCTTCAATCGGTTAAGGGCAAACAATATGCAAAAGAAAAAATAAAACAAAACAAAACAAAACAAAACAAACCAATTAAAGGTCTTCTCTAATAAAATGGAAATGTGCAAGTCCCTCCTGTGGATCCACTTCTACTTCTGAACACACACGCTTAAACATTTTGTGTACTGTTCCTTCGGAAATTATAACCCGTAAGGCTAGGTAAAACAGAGAAATATTGTGTTAGTGTTCAGCCAAGCCTTTGTGAAAATGTATTATAAGGTACAGTGTAAGTCAAAATGTTACGAGTCCGTCATTTAACTGGGATCGTTGAGAAAGCAGTGCGTTCAGCTGGAAGATTACTGGGTGACCAGCGAGTGTAGGTAGAATCGTGCATGGGTTGGGCATAACAGAAAGTAGCTTTTGTAGCTTGCAGAGTCTCAAATCATTCACGAGTTGAAATGTAACAATGTGAAAATAACTTTACCCGTCTTAAAGTCGACAAGAAAAAACTTGGCGATTTCTTGTGGGGTCATGTCAGCTAAGTCCTCACTGAAAAGTTGCAACAGCTGCTCCTCCTTGGATGGCAGTACTTCGAGATTGGGCTCCTGATTCATAAAAAGGTGTACATGGTCAGTGTCGTAAATTTGTGTCCGGAGATGGCTGATGGGGGATTGTGAACGGATGACTTGCCCAGCAATGGAAATATGAAAGGTTTACGGGTTCAGATACCATGAGACTACACTTCTGCGATGTTCGCGCTACCGATGTACAATTTAATATGCATTACACTTCTACGGAATCTTTCACCAAAATGCATATTTATGGCCTTGTATAAAATGTTGAATTCTGTCGAATGCTTTTTGTCCGCTCTTCTAAAAAATTACATTCCTTTGTAATTTATATCTCAGCAACTGAGGGGAGGGGTGATTCAATAGCCCATCCCCTGATCACAAAGTGTGAGGTAACATCCCCTTCCTCCGGAATTTACACCCAAACACGTGATCTATAAACTAAGATGGTCGAGCTTGGCACAAAGAACAGATACTTTGTCGTTAGGGATTGTTTACAATCCACAACATTGTTTACTCGCAATAGAATTCAACGGACAACGAATCTTCTAAATGTCGCCTAGTCTGGCACACGAATCTTTCTTAATCCGCTATTAAACGTTTAATAAGGAATTGGTATTGGGAACAACTGACTGATTCAGCGTTTGTTGGTGAACTAGTGACATACACTAGTCCAATAAAACGGTAGAAGTAGAATAACATACATCTACGGATCTTCCTAGAAAAAATGCGCCATTTAGTTTGAAAAATTGAATTTGGTGCAGATTTTGGAAACTACGTATAGTCCCGTGTTATTTTTGCAATAACACTCATTTGAATTCATTTTGCATCTTTCAAAAAGTGATCGTGCATTAAATTCCCTTAAGAGATTACAGAGGAAGGGATTTCAGTTTGACGTATTAGATGCAATTTATAACAAACGTCCGATCTTACTCGCTGAATGTTTTAGCGTGAATTTTGGTATTGAGTATTTATTTTAATTTGCTGTAATGCAAAGCTGTACATTCATCGTTCAATTTGAGTTTACGGGCTTATACAAATCATAAAACAGCTTGATGACGAATGCACTGTTAATCAAGCAGGACAAGTGTAAATAGATATCACAGGCCTGTATACAAATTTAAGCCTACATGACAGAGTAGATTAGTCAAATTTTGTAATGAAAATCTATCAAAATACCAACCAAAATAATTGGATGTTACGGAATACAACTCGTCATAGTGTTTACAAATAGATCTCGAGCATCGTTTGCTTCTTCATTGTTCTTTACGCACTTTGGTTATGTTCCCACTCATTTATCATGTTTATTGATCAATGATCTGTCTTTCAAGGAGTCTAAGTATATTTGTACTTAGCTGTTCATTTTGCAAGTGTCACTTCACTGGTGTTTTAAAAGACTACACACATCAGTTTAGCTCAACCAACATAAATATTCAAACATGTAACCATTCAATTAAACATTTCAAAGAATATAAGTTGTGTTATCACGCAGATGAATTGCAATTCTTGACCAGGCGTACCCTAGGAAGAGGGAGCGGCCTCTTTTGGCGAGTCTATTGGAGCTAATTAACTTTTTTTTTTCGTCCAAATGCAACGACTATTTATCATGTGCTACCCCTGTACATGCTGAAAAACCTGGTTTAGTCACTTTACAGCCAGGGCCTCCCGTAGCCACAAAAAATGAAAAAAAAAAAAAACAGACGGCCTTGGGTCAGCCTCCAGCCAATTCCCTTAGGACTGTGTGCTAAGTGGTCCTTCGTGTACAATCTAATGGGGTTGTTTACAAAATGGTGCCTTGGGCAGGCAGTGGAATGTTCGTTATCCGTGACAGCTGTCTGCAACTTGTCAGAGGCCTCTTTTGGCTGTCTCTGAAGTGTTATTTTTGTTGGGGGGGTGTTGTGGTGGTGGTAGTATGGCTTGGCTGGCGCGTGGCGAGGCCCCCCCTTCAAATCCGTATAGCCTGGGCAAACGGCCCCCCACGGTACTGTGATGTACTTTTGGTGGTTTGTAAGATCTGTAGAGGCTAGGGGGCAACCATTGAAGCATTAATATACCTTTAGCACGAACCCAGGGCTCTGCAAACCTGAAAAATGAAACGGACTCAACGGAATAGTCAGCTCCAGCCACTTAGTGAGTAAAAATTCGTACTGCCTCGCAGGGTAAAGAGCACTTTCCGCGAAAACGCCTGCTCAGTCAACGAAATAGGCTGCTTGCAATTAAAAACGAATGAGAGATGATAGAGGTGCACATCCAGATTGAATGAATGCTAAAGTGAATTTAATTTGTTCAATAGGAACGAGGATTATGAAGGGTCATAACATTTCTTACGAACGCTGATATTACTTATTCATATACACATCTTCCAATTGTCAGAGAAAAACTTGTATTGAACGGAGATGATTGACACACTGATGTGACATGTTACTAAAAGTAGTTACGATGTAATGGACCAATGCTTTTAAACAAAAAATTAAATTATCATTTAAAATGATACACCTTGTTTGTCTGTACTCACCGTTAGAGCCAAAGAGGAAACCGTCGCAAACGCGGCTGCAAGAGCAACCAGCTTCCACACGACAGTCATTCTCAAAATATTTGATGTCAAGTCTTTGAAGGGAAATGGGGAAAAAAACAGGTGTACTCAAAAGAGAAATCACCCTGAATGGAACACTCGTTGTTGAGTGACTTTATATACCTTACAAAATCTAGAAACCCTCTGACTACAATGGTAAAAGTAAAACCATAGGCCCACAGAGGTTATACCAGCATAATTTTGTCATCGACGCTCTGTTTGATTTTGTTAGTACACTTCTGGTTTCAAGTGCAAGTCCAAAACATACAGAATCTTCAGTTGGTTCTTTTTAATTGTTGTTACAAGATTTGTTTGATTGCAGGGAAAAGCCGATGCTGTTTGCATAGCACGGCCTTAGACAACACGAATACCGTTATAGAAGTTGGGGCCATGGTTACCATTAACCTAAAAAAAATCATATTAGTTAGCATTTATTGATGTTGCCCCGAAATCCCACGGACTGATGCTCTCAGTTATGGTTCCAGAAGTGCAGTGTACATATTGCCAATGTGTCTACATGACAGTTTTACGAACCCTTCAGAAAGCTGACATTAAATAAACCGTTCTGAAACTTTGCTGGTAGTAGGAATTGCACGTGCACCTTAAAGAACCACCTAAAAAGAAGAGACTGTATAGGAACCGATATTCAGAAACTTGATGGGCAGAAAGTAAAAAAAAAGCAAAATGAAATCAAAAGAAACCAACCGTGGAAAGAAGATGCCCTGTTCACGACTTATTGCGCAGACGGGTTGGATAATTAGTGATGGTGGAATTGTACACAGTGCAGTTCCATCGAGCAGAAAGGTGTGGAAACTGGTCAGGTACAGAGACAGACATCTTTCACAGTTTAATATGAGAAAGCACTCCATCATTGTACTGTTTCGTATTTGTATAAACCTGCTATAGATCAGCAATGTTTCCGTAAGTTTGGAAGCTGAAAAATGTCGGCGTAAAAATTACAACTTTACTTTTTTTCAGCACCATCCTTAAAAAACGAAAACGAAATCTCTATATCCTCACCAAAGAAGGCTTTGGATGGAGTAAAAATACATAGAGTCGTTTGAGAGAGATCCAGCAAAGTCAGACAATCATTAATTTCAGAAACGAAAACAAAACCTGTTTTGAATCTATTGATTTCAAATCTAAAGAATTGAGACATGTCTTTACACCTATTCAGATTAACTGATTTAAGTCAAAGCATCAGCAAAAGAAGGTTTTACTTTACCTCAACTGTGTCCAGTGAATTGACCAGACTTGAAGAAAGAATTTATTTGCTGAAAAAACTCCTTTAATACAAGTGTTTCAACATTGATGTCCAAAGGGAAACAACGAAGAAGCACGGAAGGTATCTTCGTAGCTTACTTCGTAGTTTACAGACCAGAAATGAAATTATTAAATTGGAAACAATTACAAGTTGGAAAACAAATAAAAATTAGATAATTCGGAAAAAACTGAGATTTCCATTATGTCATATGCTACCTCTTATTTTCTACTCACAAAGAGCTTAGGAATTTTCACCCTCTGGTTTTCCATTGATTGTTTTCATCTTCAAAGACAGTAATTCCATATTATTCGTATACTCTTGCGTTCCTCCGGTATCAGGCAGCCGATATTATGACTAACGTTTATTCAGGGTCAACAATTTATTCCTGTGAGCGGAATGCAAGGTTTTGGATGACAGTCAAATTAGCTGTTTTTCCCACATTTCTTAGATTGCTTCATGTGGTTGTCAACAAGGAGAAGTGAGGTGTTTTGGCAAACTGGTGTCACACTGAAGTGGCGAAATTATTTGCTATGTAGAACGCAGGACCGTGTATTTCGGTTCCATGGAAGGAGTGAACTCGGCACACGGGGCATCGCTACTCGGATCAACAGCTGGACGGGACCAGCGGTGTGTATAGAACCACTGTACTGATCGAACTAGAATGTGATGAGCTCTGAAAAAATAGATCAAAACTCATCGCTATCAAGAGTATGTACCGGGCACAACGCTGCAACCAACTTTACTTTAAGCCAAATTGGAAAAGCATGGGAAAAGACATCCTGCAGTTGATGTTTTGCTTCATTCTTTTTTTGCAATTCAGTAACTTTATTGAACACATCTTGAGGCGTCGTCAATCAACAATCAACACTCAATTGCAGATTCGCCATTCTTTGTTGCATACAAACTCGAAGCTATTCCAGCAAAGTTCTCACACTTGACCGTAGAAGAAGACTTTAGCATGCTTTGACCGAAGTCATTTGAGTTATTTTTACATACGATACATGCTATTTTAGTCCTACCACGGGGCATAGAGGTTTACACCGTTAACATTTTTTCTTTAATGTCTTCACAGGTTGCTCTGCGTCTACGATGATCTAAAGAAGATATACAACAAGCGCTAACCTTTTTGTCTTTTTAGCTTTAAGGGCTGCCGATGGTGTTGTTATAGTAGCTGCACGTTGTGATCTTCATGTTTTGACGGCTTTGGGTAGTTTAATTTATTCTTTTCATTTTTTCTTTCTTTTTTGCCGACCGCGACCTTGGGTGGCTTTGCCCGACTGGAGGCCCTGCTGGATTAGCCAAGCCTTGGTCAAGGTGTTCGTCATTCGTTGCAGCGCACGGCGGCTTGCGATGAGTGCAGAGTGACCAATTGCAGCTAAGTATACAGATGTATAATGCATCAACGCGAACTGCTATGCATGTAACCATGTAAAATTAACGGCGGACCAGCTTCCGAAACGACTGCAGCACGACGAGTAATGCTGTTGCTTGAATTCCGCTGCAGATAAATATCAATGCTGGGTGATTTTCGTGCCAAGAAGTGGCAAGTCTTAGAATACTTTCTGCGGGTCACGACGTTTTCGTGAGTTTGCTAACAGGCAACGGTATATCTGTCATTTGTCAGGCTGTACCTTTCTTTTTGGAGCTCCTCTGACCAGATACAAAGCCCATAGCGCTCGTCATTTGAAATGAATCAATCACCATAACTAAGCAAAGCAAAGGCGAACTCGATTACTTTGATCAGCTGGCAAAATAAATATTGATTTGTCGTGTACATGTACAGCCACGTGTGCATTCAGTTAACCTTTCACCTTACGACCGACTTGAATTATGCAGTTACTCTGTGGCAATGAACCAATCCAAAAGCGTATTTAAAACATCAGCTCTTGCCGTTAGCATAATGAGCACTGTCCAATACAGCTTCCGTGGACGGTTGCACCAAGACGTTCGTCGTGGTTCAGCAGATTTGCATATTTCTTAAACGACGAGAGGCTGCTCTTTGCCTCGATTTCGAGCGGTAAGTGCGCGCTGAGCACTGCTCTGCGAGGAATGACGAACGCCTTGACCAAGGCTAAGGTAGCTTAGCCCAGGTAGAGCCTGACACTGTTTAAGGAACCGGCTCAAAAGCGCCGTGGAGGTCCATTAAGCGCGAGACCGCTTTACAGATGGCTGGGTTGTAAAGAGATGGCATACTCACGGCACATCTCCCGTACTCTTTCTATGACGATCTCCTTACTTTTTATCTTAGGTTCCGATTGAGCTTTATGTAGTCCCAAAGAGTCGTGTTTTTGGTTACTTTTGTTCTTCTTAATATTTTTGATTTGTCTGTGTATCTATTTTCCGATTCTACTACTTTTTGTAGATGCAGCTCTATTTTGCTACCGTCCTTTCAATCGCCACTGACCTAGGCAGCTCTATCAAGCTCCGAGCTATTACCGGGCTGGCACCCGCGAGCGGTGGTGGTGCTGGGTCTCAGGTGTGTCTGGTGTGCTACTGGGGGCCTGCTGAAACACCCGGAATTCCGGGCCTACCAAGAAATCGGAGCCAGTATGGACCAGCAGGGGCAAATGGCGATGCTAGGGTCAAGAGTCAGAAGGGTGAGATTGGGCCAATTGGCGCTGTTGGGGACCCTGGATCGAAAGTGGAGGACAGAAACAGCCTGCCCGGTAAATTAGGTCCAAGAGGCCCACCTGATTTAGTTGGAGTCATCGGGGAATCGGGGGTCACAGGTCAAAAGGGCAGCCTGAGGAGACTCCTTAAAACTCCGCAAACCGGATATCATGCGCTGTAACGCGGAGAACCGACTCGGATACATTTACGAGTTACGACCAGTGTTGTAGTCGAGACCTTTATGTCCGAGACCGAGACCGAGACCAAGGCATTCGAGACCGAGACCAAGACT